GCTGGGCAGATGCTTGCCTCACAAGCAAAAGGTGTTGTGTTCAATGTCCTAACACTGCTAAAAATAAACTGAATAAAAACATAAATCGGATTATTAACTTGCCACTCTATTTCTTTGCTCACAACACCCCAGGGTCTCTCATTCTTTTCGGTTTACATTCCAATTCCTTGCCATTGAGCATAAGACCATGTGTCAGAACAGTTGCCAGCATTTGCCTAAGGTTTTGCAAAAGTCCTATCATAGGGGGTGGGGGGAATGGGAGGAGCAACGATGTGGTTTTTTTTTTTTTAATAGTTATTTTTCTCAAAGGATGTTTACTGGCACGTAATATTTTTCAAAGATTTAGCACATCATTAAAGTTCTAGTAAAATGAAAATTCTATCAAGTATTTTCTGTACACTCAAGGCTCTTCCTAGCAGCAATGCTTAAAGTACTTCTAGCCCTCCGTGTCCAAGTCATCCATGTCTCTTCCCTCTGTCCACTGCCTCGTATTACATCTACTCAGTTCTCGATGCCGGACAAGATAAACGGTCCACTCTTCCCATAGCTCCATGTTCATATATTAATGAAAGGAACTCTGAAACTCATGTCTGTCTTTGTACTGTGGAGTGGACAACAAATCTACCGACACATTTTTATTTTCTTTGCGGGGGAGGGGGTGTAAAGACTGGATCTCAAGTAGTACAGGCTGGCCTGACTTTCCAGCTGAGAATGACCTTGAATTCTCGAGGGATTATAGGCATGTATCATCACTTCGCTCGCTTTCCCCCTCTTGTTCTACAGCAAACATTTGCTATAGAAATATTCAATCCACTGTCCCTTCTAAGTGAGTTTTAACACACGGAGCTTAAACAAAACTTCAACGATTTACGAATGGTGGTGACTTCCTCCTCTCCGAACTACATATTTTGTTAGACACATGGAACCTCTCCAGAATGTAGCAATTCGCAGCTCACGGAAACAACGGACACTTTCGGAGCTGAGCTACTCTGCTCTATCTACCTTCACATTTGCAGGTGCCCGCCGGGGTACAGGACGCAGACTCCGTCAGTCATGGGACACCGGAGGCGCACGCACCGTAGGGAGTCCATGCCTGAGCGTGCGTGGAGAGCAGCGCGCAGGCGCGGGGCGGCTCGCGCAGGCGCGGTGCGCGGTTGTGGCGGTCCGCCGAGGCACCCGGGTTCCGGCATGCCGGG